CCCTCCCCCCGCAGACCGGCCGGACCCCTGCCCCCCTGGGGACACCACCACAACCACACATACACACGGCCTATACCTTTGCAGTGGGCCGTCGCCTCGCCCGCCTCTGTCCCGTGGGTCCCACTCGTCGCTTGTCGCGGTGGCATGGGAGAGGAGAGGGTCCGGCCCGGATGACCCCCCCCCCCTCCACCCTAGGCAGCCCCGGGTGGCCCCGGGCCGCGCCAGGGTGGGGCCGCCGCTGCCGCGGGTTGCGTCATTTTGGCGCGGCATGGCGCCCGCCCCCTCCCCCCTTAGGGTCCAACTCGACCCGCGCGACTGCCGGCCTGCTAACTACCCAGCAGCTCGGCAGCAGCTGCCGCTTGCCGCCCTGCCTGCCTGCCGTGTGACCGTCACCTCCGCGCTAACGCACACCCTTTGTCTGTTGCAGATCCAGAAGAAGAGGCGCATCGTGGCGCGCGTGCAGTGCCGCAACATCAAGCACGAGTGCCCCGAGCCGACGTGCGACGAGCCCGTGCTGCTGCCCAACCGCTGCTGCAAGACGTGCCCCGGCGACTCGGACGCGCACAGTGAGTAGGACATCGAGGGCGGCGGGCACGTCCTGGGGGTCGGGGGTCCCGGGCCCGGGCTCGCGGAGGGAGTGTCCACGCGAGCGCCACGGAGTGCCCCGGGACAACAATGGCACGATAAACGAATAATGCACGCCGCCGGTCTACGTGCGTGATGTCGTGCTGCAGCGTGTGTTCTGAGAAAGACTGGGCGCGCGAGTCGCGAGTGGGAGAGAAAAAGAGAGGGGGGCGGATATGGGAAAGAGAAAGGGGGGGGGGGCAACTGCGCACGATATAGGAGAATAAGGAAACAAAACAAGCACGTGGCACTTGGCACATCACATTCCTCGTGTGCCTGTCCTGCTGCTCCTATTCTCTGGAACAATCACAACAACACCGCAAAGAGGCAGAAGTTGAGGAAGAGGATGGGGGGGGGGGTAAAAAGAAGGAAAAGAGTTTTGACCGTTGGATCGGTGCCAAGGAAGCCTCCCCCCCCCCCTTCACCTCTAGCGCGGCGGTGACCTATGCCTACACGGCCCGCATGCGGCTGGACAGGGCGGCTGACGAGGGGTCCCATTCGGGGGAGGAAACCAGGAGGAAGAACCAATAAACCTCTGGAACGGGTGGGAAGAACAACGCAATGGGGGAAATCTCGCATTGGAGAATGTTTCAAGTGGCAATACATGACACCAAGTTGCTCGAAGAAACAAAACAAAAAACTAAAAAACTCGACGGATTGTGAGGTTGGGTCGGGTTGGCTCCTCACGGCCCCGTGCGAGTAGGCAACTCGCCCGCACGCCTGCGTGTAGTACAGCATAACCACGCAACCCCGCCACCTGCTGGAAGCCTTGGGGGTAAGGGAAGGGCGAGAGGTAGAGAAGGGGCTAGGAGGTCACTTTGTCCACTTTGACCTGGTGCTGCTGTGTTGTTGTTGTTATTGTTGCTGATCCGCCGGCCGCTCGTGAGATATGCAGTCCACGTGAATGATGCCCGACCGGCGCGGGGCGCCTGGCGCTAGACGGCGCCAGCCCGGTGACGTCAGCGCTGAGCTAGAAGCAGTAGCAGCACGTCGCCACGCAATACTAGAAGATTATTTTTATTATTATTATTTTTGATAGCAGAGGCCATCTTTTTTCATCTCGTGAGGAGAGTGCCCACCCGCCCTCTGCTGCCCATACACCGCTGCTGGTGATTGGTTTTATGCAGAGGTTGGCGAGAGTTGGGAGTGGTGCTGAGCCCCTGCTGCTGCGGGCGAGGAGGAAAAGTGGGAAAGAAGTGGAGGGAAGGGGGGGGGGCAAGGAGTTGACGTACATGTGATTAGGCGGCGGCGTGCATGCATGCCGGGGCTACCCGCGGGGTAGCGAGAGAAAGAGTGAGAGACGAGCAGAAGAGGAAAAACAGGAGAGGATGTGTGGGGTCGAGAGGGGCAGCCGGGTGGGACAGTTGCGTGGACAGATACAGAGCGCCCCGCGGGACTGGATCGGACGGACCTCGGCGGCGACGCCGGCGGCGCGTCCCGCCAGGGGGAGGCGGAGCGGGGGGAGGGAAACTATTTCGGGTCGGTGTGGGTACGCGCATTAGAGCACCGCCTGGTGCTTGGTGCTTGCAGTGTCGCTCATTTACATGCAGAATGTTTAAAAAAAAAATAAGAGAGAGGGAGAGAAAAAAAGGCGGGGGACTACGTTCGCAAAGCGTAGCCAAATAAGCTTTTATTTTCAAAAGAAATGTAAAAAATAATTTATGGCAGCTATCGTTATTGGTCTTCTCAAAGTAAGGCGCAATTTGTGTGTGTGTGTGTGTGTGTGTGTGTGTGTTGTGGAGCGGTAGGTAGCCGCTTAGTTCTCACATGAAGGCCGCCCGCACGATCCATGCATTATTAGGAGGGGACCGTGGGGGGGGGGGGGTGAGGAGGGCAACCTGTTCTGCCAGCCGCCGGCCGTCTACATAATATACATATTATCAACAAGAGTCTTTTCATTCTGTCAATATGTCGGCCAAAGCGCTCGTCTCCCCCCCTCCCCCCAATGTTTCAGCCTCCCCCTCCCCCGCACGCATTGTCTACCGCGCGTTGCACGACACGTCGCTGAAGAAGCTCCTCGGCTCCTCCAACAAGACCCCGCCTCTCCTCAGTCACGTTGATTTTCTTTCCGTGCTTTATGCGGGAGTGACAGAGAACGCCCTGCCCCGCCCCGCCCTCCCTCGTCACCCCGCCCCACCACGAGGGATCACGTTTTTCCGTTCGTCAACGTGAGCGTATCGTATGATAATGCCGGCAACATTCATGCAGATTGTTTTGCAGTCTAGAGGAAGTCGCACCGCACCGCGCTGCCTTTTGCTCAAATGGGACACGGTAATGCGCCCCGCCCCGCCTCACCACGCCCCGCCGCGGCACACCGCCGAGTGCGCTGGCCTGATATCAGGGCGTGCTTGCGCAGGCCGCAGTGCCTGGCGCCAGTGCCGTTGGAGGCGCCGCCCCCGCTCCTAGCCCCCGCCTCCGCCTCCACCGCGGAGCCCGAGCGCTGCTCCTGCGGTCGGCTCGGATAAGCTGATGACCCTGCGCGTGATGGAGTCCCACCGGCCCCAGCCGCGGCACCCACCGAACCCCCACCCAAAAACTAACTCTGTTGTTCCCTTTTGTTCGCAGGCCCTGACGTGGTGCAGGACGTCGCGCCCACCGTGAGCGCCGAGGAGGAGGACAAGAATTGGAAACGTAAGTACAACTCAGGACCAGCAAAGGGAACCACATTGGAGGCGCACCGGGACCCGCGGACCGCGATTCGGCATAACTCCACCGCGGTGCACACGCAGTGCGGTAGCGTGGCCTTGAGGGGGAGGGAGGCGGGGGTACGAGCGGGTACGAGCCATCCGAGAGGGAGGACCTCGTTGGGCATGACGCACGATGGCAGCGTGGCGCCGGCGGCGCCGTCGAGAGGTCCCCGCCGCCCCGCGCCGCCTGACAGCATCCGTTGGAAATGAAGGGCGCGCATTCATTTGCGGTAAAAACAGACACGACGATAGGCAAGCCAGCGGTGAGCTGCGGCGGCGGTCAGCAGCGCTGGTCTACACCAAGCAGACTCCGCCGTAGAGATTTAGGCATGACATCATGGAGGCCGCGCCGCTGCATGTGTTTCTGCTCTGCGCGCGCTGCTGTGGAGGGGGGGGGGGGGGCTGCTGTAAGCCGTCGGCACCCTCGCAGAAACACGCGTTACCTTATTCTGCCTCGTAAAACGTTTGGCGACGCTCGGCCGGGAGGGGAGCAGTGTGACTGCCTGCCTGTGCGTGGTTCCGCACATTCACTCTCTTCCGGTAGCAAGCAGTGGCTTGGCACTCCACTCCAGCAGGCCGGGGGGCCGCCGGGCGCGGCCGGGCGCGGCCAGCCCTGCCGGCCACTCAGCGCTGGCACAGCCTCGATTGAGCTCGCCACTCGAGCGAGAGCCGCGCCGGTTTTACTGCCATATTGAGCAGAGCCATGGCGACCGGCTGCAACCCCAGGATGGCTGTAAACTTGATGATTCGAAGGCTCGACTACTCTTGCGAATAACACTCGGCGGCGCACCCGCTGCAGCTGCACTCGTGCGACCCAAAAGCCCCACTCACTTGACGGGCCGTTTGCTGTCCATCCCCACTTGGCTGACCGTTTGCTCCGTCCTTTTGCAGACTTCGCGGCGCTGCTGTCGGGCCGCACCTCCCGGCTGCTGGCGCACGCCGTGCAGGGCGCCGGCGCGCAGGGGCTGGTGGCGCCGCCCCGCAACGCGGGCAACCACGTGGCCACGGCGCGCTTCACCTTCCACCGCAAGAGCCTCTACTACTCGGTGCTGACGCCGCGCCGGCCGCGCGCCATCCAGTTCGTGGACCGCGAGGGCAGCATCCTGGAGGAGCAGGCCATCCCCGCGGCCGGCTCCGCCTACCAGAACGCGACGGGCAAGGTGTGCGGCGTGTGGCGCCGCCTCAGCCGCGACTACCGCCGCCTGCTCCGCGAGGAGCGCCTTCTGGTCACGCTGCTGTGGGACAACGAGGACAGCGTGACGGGCAGCGTGCAGCGCGCGCGCTCCCTCGGCTCCGAGCTGCTGTCCGCGCTGCTGCTGCCCCACGGCCACCCGCACGGCCATGGCGAGCAGAACCCGCTGGCCGGGGCGGGCGGCACCGCCGTCGTCTCCATCTCGTCCAGCGGGCCCGCGCCCAGCGTGCACATCGCCCTGCTCTTCAACGGCATCTTCAGCCCTCAGGTGCGACCCGGCTCAGGATCCCCACTTGCGTGGTGGGAGAAGTAGCCTTTCCTTAAAACTCGTTCTTTCGCTCATTGCAGGATGTCCTGGATGTGCCGGTGTCCGTGCGCCTTGAGACGGCGGACGGCTCCCGGCAGGTGCTTGAGGAGACGCTGCGCGTGGCCAAGCCTGCCGCCGAGCTCAACGAGGCCGCCGTGACGGCAGCCGTGTCCGCGTCCGACCTGCGCCTGCTCACCCGCGGCAAGCTGATCCTCACCGTGGCGTCCGCGTCCCCGCGCCGCTCGCGCGAGCTCGCCCTGTCCGGCGGCGTGCAGCCCCGCGCCGTGTGCGAGGTCTTCCAGGCGCCCCTGTCCGTCATGGAGGCGGCCGCCGACCAGCTCGAGGACGGTGGCGCCAGCAACAGCAGCGGCCAGGGCATGAACGCGGTCGGCACCGCCGAAGCCGGCAGCGCCCACGTGGACAGGCCGGCCGGCCAAGCCTGGCTCTACGTGGACAGGCACGGCGCTCTCGTCTACAGCGTGCAGCTGTCCCAGGTGAGTGTTGTGCGCTGCTCCAGTATTTGCGCCGCGCGCCGCCGCCGCGCCTCTCTGCGAGGCTGGCGCCGGCCCGCCGCCCGCCGCCCGCCGGCCCGCCGCGCCTCGCGACTGTGTTGACTCGCGCGAGTTGCAGACACGGCGTATCAGGTGTTGTGCTCGCCGATAACCAGGCTGGATGTCGCGCCTGGCGGCGCCGCGGCGCCGCGGCCCTGAGGAGCCTCGCTCCAGCGTGGGACCTCGCCACTCACACTGTTTTCGTTGTTGCTCCACAGATCCCCGGGGAAACCACCCTCCTGACGCTGGTGTCCGGGCGCGGGCGGCGTAGCGTGGAGCTGGAGGACCTGACGCCCTCGCTGCATGCCTCGAACGCCGGCTGGGCCAACGGCTCCGTCAGCCGCATCAGCCCCCGCGAGCTGGAGCAGCTCTACGCCGGCGAGCTGGCCGTCAACGTGGCCACCGGCTCCGCGGCGTCCCTCGTACGCGGCCGCCTCGTCGCCCGGCCCGTCGCCGAGGCGCGCGACTCGCCGCAGCCCATCCTGCTCACGCCCAAGCAGGGGCCGACCGGCTCTAATGTCAAGATCCCCGTCAGAGGCGTCGCCGCCAACCTCACGGGCATGGTGTGGTTCGCCATCGACCCGGAGTGCAACCTCAACTATGACGTAAGTACACCGGGTGCTGACCTACCCCGCGCTGGCGCCGTTCAGTGACCCGGCCGCACATGGCGTGGCACATGATGACGGCACATCAGCGATGCTGCAATTAGAGAGGAGGGGGAGGGGGGTATGCGTGAGTCAAGTTGACACTTCATTACTTTAATATGCAGTGGTACTTGCCGGGCCGTCCGTCTAGCGACGTGAGGCTGCAAGTGGCGGGAATAAAAGAATGTGTATTGTACACGTTAAAATGTATGGAGGCCGTCGTATTTACGTTGTGGTTTTGCAGGTGTCGCTGAGTCCTGGAGCGCCCACCGGCACGCCCACAGCGCCGCTGCATCTGGCCCTGGAGCAGGTGCCATTCCTGGCACCGGGCGCGCCCGTGTCGCGCCGCGTGCTGGACGAGTTCACCACGCCGCAGCACGAGGGCGGCGGCATCCAGCTGTCGCACGCGGAGCTATCGCGCCTGGACGCGGGCGTGTCCTACGTCGACGTGGTCCTCCCTGACGGCAGCGCCGAGCTGCGCGGTGAGCTGCGCCAGGTGAAGGTGCCCGCCTTCTGCCTGCCGCACTACTCGGACAACGACGTGCCCGCTAGCCAGCCCAGCGACAGCGAGCCCGAGACCCCGCACTGCTTCCACGAGACGCGCTTCTACGAGGACGGCGCCCAGTGGACGTCGGCGCACGACCCCTGCACCATGTGCAGCTGCCACCGCACCCGCGTGCAGTGCGACGCCGTGGTGTGCCCGCCCCTGAGCTGCGCCAGCCCCG